CCTGGGGGATGCTTTCTCACATTCTCTCTCTCTCTCTCTCTCTCTCTCTGTCTCTCTTTCCATCCAGTGTATGTGCCCTATAGTACATGCTAAAGTATGGTTATTGAGAGGAATAAATAGACATACATAAATTGCTTAAGATGGCATTGAGCACATAGTGAGAATCTATAAACTCAGCTATTATTTTCCCCAGGGAGATTACAGAATCCCTTCTTCTAATATGTCACCTTTTTGAAATGATGAGAGAAGTCTGTTACATTCACCTTTTTCTATTTTTTTTGGATTGTTTTAAAAAGGAAATTTAAACAAAGTTATATATATGTGAATACGTTTCATCCAGTATTTTCCAAAAGTAGTAGAAAATCTTTGAACTATGGTAAATTATGAAAAATTTGTTTTGACTATCTTTGGAAGGTGAAAGTCTAGGGTGAGACCATGTTGCAGGCAAACCTTGATTTGATGAATTCAAAAGACTCATACCTATGAATCAGTTTAGGGTTGTTTCTTTGTATAGTATATATTTTTATATATTTATTTATTTTTGGAGAGGGTTTTGCTATAGGGCACGTGAGCTTGCCAGAAAGACAGAGAGACACAGAGAGATAGTAAGCGAGGAATTACCCCTCTGGGAGGATGGCCACACCGCAATCCCTTATCCTCCAGTCTCCTCTTAGGATCCTGGGCACGCACACACACATACCTGGCATGAGTTCAAGCCACCAGGTCCGGGACTCAAATCACGGTCGACTACCTGGGAGTCCAGCAACATAGCCATTACACTAACTGCTGGTCCCACTTTGTATAGTATATTTAACCAACAGTCAAGTCAGAAAATATTTTTGACTGAGTAGCTGGAAGGGATCTAATCTTGCAGTGAAAGCATATTCATACTTAGTAATCATAATATTACTGGTATAAGACGAAGTTCTAAGGAAGTCCAATAAAACAGAAGACTGACCCAAAAGAAAACTATAGAGGTAAAAAAAGAGCAAAACATTAAAACAACAAATATTCAAGACAAAAATTTTAAATTTGATTAATTTAGAACAAGAAAAACATAAAAAAAAAATCAGTTCATTAGTTAAAACGGTCTCATTTTAAATTACATAATGATATCCTTGGGCAATGAGTAGCAGGAGTCAAAGTACAGGGTACATTAAAGCATTTTAAAATGTTCCTGTCATTTCTAGTGCCTTGTTTTCAGAATAAATGCTAAATGGTAACAATCTCCTATATCATTCATCTACTGAGTAATTTCTCTTGCAATTAGATAAACAGTAGATTCTGTTAACTCCCAAGTTTCATTACATACACAAGTAAAGCAGCTCTCTTTATTGATTTTCTTTCAATATGTGGGTGAATATTTAAGCAAATTATATTGGACTGTGGTTGGCAATATTCCTGGAATATTAAATTGTTTATAACATTTAAAAAAACCTCATTGTGAAAGTAATACCTGCTCAGTATAGCAAGTAATGTGAGACAGAGATAAATTTATTAAAAAATGTATTACTTTTTCATGGAACATTTCCAACATGCCCTGCAGATGGGGAAAAAATATTAGGATGGTGTTTATCATTTTGCTTTTTCATTGTTCTTTTCTATTTCTATTTTTTTAAACAAGATGATTTGATTATATTATTAATGGAATTTGGCAAGTTTCTCTTTTAATTGAACAATATATCATGATTATTGCTTCAGGCCCATGAAAATGAACATACTCTTTTCAGTAACTAATTTGTTTCCCATAGCATACCAATAATACATTCATGCATTTGAGTATTTACTTATGGATATTTGAGAATTTTCTCTGCTTTGCCATTTCACTGCCATGATTATCACTTTATAGCATGGTTCCTTTTAATTTTGAGGTTAGATTCTCTGAAAGCAAATTACTGTAGCACATGATATATTATTTTCTTAAATTTTAATATCTAGTGCCAGATTTTCCAAAATGACTGTATTATTCTCACTACTATTTACAGGGTATTGTTTACTTCAGGACAATTTTGCTAACAATGGCAAGTCATTTTTTAAATTGGACATTCATATACATAATTAAATTTCTTACTAAGTATCTTTTTGTATTTATTGGCCATTGATATTTCTTCCTGTCTGAATTAATTATGTATAGTGGGTTACTTGTAATTTTTTTTTTGAAAGGTTTTTCACTATAGGGTGCGTGTGCTCACCAGATAGACAGAGAGAGAGACATAGAGACAGAAAGCAAGAAATCACCCCCCAGGGGGGATGGTCACGCTGCAATCCCTTCTCCACCATTCTCCTCTCGGGATCTTGGGCACACATGCACACGCGCCCGGCGTGAGTTTTAAGCTACCGGGTCCGGGACGCGAACCGCGGTCGACTACATGGGAGTCCAGCAACATAGCGATTATGCTAACTGCTGGTTCCCAGGTTACTTGTAATTTTTAAAAAAATCTTGTGGAAGAGATTTCTGATTCCAATCAAGATGGAATAGATATACTCTGCCTCATGAAACCAAATTAAATTGAACAAAGTATATTATTTTTTTTTAAATATGGTGCTTCATGTAGCTTACAATAGTGATTCCTGAGATATGGGAAACAAATGAGGCTAGCCCTATAGCTTACTGTCTCTAAGCCATGGCACACAGAGGGATAACTGGCCCAGTTAGCTCCTTGAGTGATAAAGACATTGCAGGGAGATCAAGGTATCGAGAGTTCTCAGTAAAGTGTAAAAGGGCTAGCAGGTGGCACAGTGGTTAAGGAACTAGACTCCCACATGGTGGACCGCAGTTTGGGACCTGGACCTGTTGGCTTGAAAATCATACCGCATGAATGTGCATGCATGTCCAAAATCCAGAGAAGAAAATTGCTGGGGTCCAAAAATGGAGGACAAGGGATTGTAGCATGGCCATCTCTATTGGGGGTGGGGTGGGGGAGTTATTTCTCACTTTCATTATCATTGTCTCGCTCTCTCTTCAGAAAGCACATACACCTTATGTCAAAACCTTAAAAATAAAGTAAAATAAAAATAAAGTGTAACAGAGAGCTGAAAAATAGAAAACTGAAAATCTGAAGAATGTGCCTCCTGAATACTCAACAATCTTCTTTAGTGCCTGTGTTAGATGAAACTATCTAAGGCAAGATAAAGAATGAACAGAATAGACCCAAACAGAAGACTTTACTTTGTTCATATAGGCCTAAGAGTAGAAGAAGACCAACTAGAATAGAAAACTTTGTGATTCATGGGAACATCAAGAAAGGATATTCCCAAGAATTATGCTCCCACGAGTTGATGTTCCAATTTATGGGACCAGCAGAAAGGTCTTGCATCAGTTATAGGAAATAATAACTCTATATTAAACAGTGTGTTGGTCTTGCCTAACAAATAAAGGCAAGACCCAATAGGATCAAACAGTTTAGAAGTAACATAATAGTATTCTATAAAAATATTCAAGACTATTACGGGCAAAAAAGTGTCCAGCACTTAATAAGGAAAGATTCACAGTATGTGGCAATCCATTCAAAATTATCAGGTGTAAAAAAGCAGTAAAATATAATTCATAATGAGGAGAAAATTCAACAAATTAAAATTGACCCAGAAAAGAAACAAATGTTAAAATTAAGTATTAAAGATATTTGAACTATTATAAACTATATTCCTTATAAGGAAACAGCTAAGTAGACATGGAAATAAAAGACCTAAATTAATTTTTTAGAGGTAAAAGCTATAATGTGTGAGATAAAAGATGTACTATATGGGATTATAACCAATTAAACACCTAAGAAGACAAAAATACTGAACTTGAAGAGACAGTAAAATAAACTACACAAAATGAACACCAGAGATAAATATGAGTAAGAAAAAACAAATGAAAAGAAAAAGAGAAGATATGAATTACTAAAATCAGAAATATTAAAAGTAATGCCATTACAGATTCTTCTATTCTACTAAATGCTTAGTGAGTGTTATGATCAACTTTATTCCAATAAAATTGAAATTTTAAATGAGGTGAAAACATTCTTTGTAGGACAAAGAAAACTTCCAGAGTTCATTTAAGTAACTACAGAAAACAGATAACTCAGGTAAGACTTTGTCTATTAAAGATACTGAATTAGTAGAGAAATTTTCCCACAAAGAAAAAAAATAATAACTTGGGTGAACCAGGTGGCATGGTGATTAAGGCAGCTGGATCCCACATGACTGACTACATAGTTTGAATCCTATACCAAGTGGCTTGAAAAACATGCCAGGCATATGTGTGTAGGCGCGCATACGTGCCTAGAATCCTGAGAAGAGACTGAGAAGGGATTATATAGTGTGGTTATCCCCCCAGGGGATGCTTTATCTCTCTCTCTCTCTCTCTCCCTCCACCCCTCCCTGTTGAGTATACACACCCTATATCACATAAAAAGAGAAGAGCTAGCTTAGATGTCTAAATTGATGAAATTACAGAAGAAATATTACTTACTCTTTACAAAACTTAGAGAAAATAGAAGATGAGATAATTCTCCATTTAATCTATTGGACTTTATTCTAGAATATATGGTTACTCTGATGTTTTTAAATTAATAAATATAATTTATAATAATGACAAAATAAAAAATGGAGAACCATATAACAATATCAAAAGTATTTAACAAAAATTAACATCCATCCCTGAACAACAAAATACTCAGCAAAATAGAAATGAGAGAATTTGCTCAATATAATAAAAAAAATTCTATTGAAAATATACAACTACCAGGCTAGTGTGAAAGACCTATCCTTCTACATAAGATCAGGGAGAAGGTAAGTTTGCTCTCACCTCTTACACTCAACATTATGCTGGAGATTCTGGCTATTGAATAGGAGAAAGTGAAAAGGTAAAAGGCAACTACATTGGAAAGAATGTAATTAACCTCTTTATTTGCAGATGACATGTTTATTTGTTATGAATCAAATGCAATCTACTAAAAAGTTAATAGATGACATTAAGAAATGAGTTCAGCAATGACATAAGAATAAAATATGTAGTGCTCGCCTTGGCAGCACATATACTAAAATGGAATGATATAGATACAAGATTAGCATGGCCCCTGCACAAGGATGACTCGTAAGTTCATGAAGCTTCCACATTTGTTTCATATTCTGTGTTCTTAAAGCAATAAAAATTCTGATGTTTTATAAAAATAAAAAAAACGTATAGACTATAAACTGTACTCTAATGTACTACTAATAAACAATTAGAAAATAAATTACAAAAACATATCCTGTACAATGATAAAAAGATAATCGGTGGCCCCATACCCACTGGTTAGGGAAAGCTGTATTCCATATGACCACCTGTGGTTTTAATCTTGGTCCAAGTGGCTTCAAAAACATACCAGGTACACGTGTATGCATGCCCCTAATCCCAATAGGACAGAGAAATGCAGAAGGGATCATTGCATGAGCATACCATATCAAAGGGTGCTTTCTTCCTCTCCCTCTCTTTCTCTTCCTTTCTCTCCCTTTCTGATCCCCTAACCCCGCTGGCAAATGAAAAGCAAACAAACAAATACAAGAAAAAACAAACCAAACTCTCTCAAAAATATAAAGTAGAGGTAATCTGGTAAATGGCACAAAAGACATGTACACCAAAAGTTACAAAACTGTGCTTAGAGAAATTAAATAATACATAAATCCAAGGAGACATACACCATATTCAAAGGTTACAAGACTCCATAATGTGAAGTTGCCAAATAACCTGAAATTGATTTAGCAATTTACTTTTTTTTAAAAAAGAATTATTTTATTTAACCTTATTCATCATTAATTTTTAAACTGGATTAGAGAGAGACACCGAGAGAAAGGGAAAGTGAGAAAGCAAGCCATCAGGTCAGGGATCCACAGTTTGCCATGTGAGAATCCAGTGCCTTAATTACCACACCACATGCTGGCCCCGCCTTGTGTGCACTTTTAAAAGGATTGGTGGGGGCCAGCTATTGCATGGTGGTTGGGTGGCTGGATCCCACATGGTCAATCATGCAGTTCATCCCAGACCCAGTGTCTTAAGAAGCACTCCAGGCACATATGTATGCATGCCCAAAATCCCAAAAGGGGAGATGAAGGAGAAGGGATTTCACTATGACCATCCCCCATTGGGCGGAGGTGCTTTCTAACTTACCCTCTCTTCTCTCTCCAGCAAGTGCATACACCCTCTAACAAAATTAAAAATTTTTCTTTTTTAAAAAAGCACTAGGACTTCTCTGCCAAGAACAAGCTGCAGGCAGGAGTTAAGGCCCGTGGTGCAATCAGACAGAGCAGTCATCAGGCAATGGCGATAACGTGTTTATTGTGGTCTGTCAGCATGATAGCCTGACAAATCAGACCCTTGGAAATAAAGCCAAACAAAGAGGAGAATCTGTTTCTATGTAGCCAATAACCACTCAGTTTTCTGTTTTGTTTTGTTTTCTGTTTAGAATTAGCCTACTCTTCTCAGCTTGTATTGGTAACTGGATAGAGTGATTAGAGTGATTAGACATTAATAGGTGAATTAATGAAAACCAAGGGCAGGGCAAGCTGTGGCATAGTGGTTAAGGGGTTGGATAGCACCTGCCTGTTTGTGTGGTTCAAGTCCCAGACCTGGTGACTTGGGAAACACACGTATCCATGTATGTGCATACATGCCCAAAATTTCAAAGGCAGGGAGAAATGAAGAAGTGACTGTGCCTGACCATGACTCAAAGTTGGTGCTTTCTCACTCCTGTCTTTTCTCTGTTGAGTACACACGACCTTGGCAAATTAACAAACTAGAAACCTAAGGGCAGAATATGGAATTGGGTCTAAAACTTAACCCATGTTAAGCCATTTAATTCCTTCATTTTAATGAGCATCATTTTATATAACATGGAGCTTGAAACAATATGCAGTCTTAAGCTGAAGTGGTTGGCGGGGATACTTGCAAAATTAGCTTGCTAGAAGTGATCACTAAGATTTCCAACAAAAGGTGAAACAGCTGAATGGATGCTTTGTTTAATAGTCATATACTATGTGCAGTAAACACAAAATGGTTTCAATCACTAGTAGTGACTATATTATTCAACTTACATCGGTGTATGTACAATCCACTTTTTGAAAAGGAAAAACAAAATTCAGAATTATCACCAAAGAGCTGTTAAGAAATAATCATTGACTATTTGTAAAAATCTACTAAATACATGCTCTGTGGTAGTAATGAGAGGATCTCTCCTTTACAAATATAAATAAGACATTTTATCAAGACAGCCATAGCTGTGTGGGGTAATGAAACTTGTAGTAAAGATAAATGCATTGAGGGACCAGTAGTTAGCATAATGGCTATGTCACTGAACAGCCATGCAGTAGACCATGGTTCGAGACCCAGACCTGGTGGTTTAAACTCACGCCAGGCGTGTGTGCATGTGTGCCCACAAGATCCTGAGAAGAGAAGGGAGGAGAAGGGATTGTGGCATGGCCATCCCCTCTGGGGGATGATTTCTTGCTCTCTATCTCCCTGTCTTTCTGGCAAGCGCACACACCCTATAGCAAAACCTCTCAAAAAAAAAAAAAAAAGATAAATGCATTGGTATTATGTGTAACATGTATTGAGTACTTACTAAGTGCTTTTTATCTACAATCTCCACATACCTATAATGCAAGTAGTAACATTAACATTTTATTTTATTTATTTTAGAGAGATTTTTACTATATGGCATGTGGATGCACTGTAGATATAGAGAGACACAGAAAGGGAAAGCTAAAAATCACTCCCCAAGGAGGATGGCCATGCTACGATTGTTCTCATTCACTCTCCTCTGGGGATATTGGGTGCACATGCACCCAGCATGAGTTTCAAACCACTGGATCTGGCACTTGAACCACGGCCCATGAGGGAGTCCAGCGCCACAACCACTATGCCACCTGCTGGCCCTGTAACATCAACATTTTTAAGAATGAGAAAACTGAGAGAGGATGAAAGCCATGACTATAATTGCACAGAGTATAATAATTAACAAGTCAATTATTTACATAAGAAATAATTATTTAAAAAGTGTTTTAGTATTATATAAAATGACTGATGCTTTATGGAGGAAGGTCCAAAGGCCTATAGGAACTATAGCAAAGGAAAGACATAACATGCAAGTAGAATTGTGGGTGACAGAAGAGTCAAAAGTGTGATGGGAGGAGCCATATTTGCAAAGGGACAACATTTAAAAAAAAATGGTATTGTGTAAGAAACGTTAATCATGGCTGGATAGGGAGTGGGTGAGTTTAGAGTATGGGGAAAAGATTGGTAAGGTAGTTTGGAACAAAGTAAAAATACCATCCTTGGGAACTTCAAATTTATCTAACCAACTAGTGGGTTATAAGGCTTCTTACAAAATAATAATAATAATTAGTAAAATATCATCTGCTTTATAAGATTGTTGTGAGGATAAAAAAATAAATGCAATAAATGCAGATCACTAGGTTGGCACATAAGTTTATATGCTTTTAAAAATAATTATGGAATAACTATTATATGTTAAATATTGGGACTACTGTTATGAACAAGTCACCATTTTTATTCTCAAGAAGCATAAAATCTAAATAATAAATTGTTCTACAGTTACATCAATGTTAATCATCTAATTAGAGAAATGTAGATACACTTTTAAAAAGAGGGGTAGACTATGGTGCAGCAGTAAAACACAATGCTCTACAAGACTGAGAAGGTTCTATGTTTGTGTCTGAAGACCTCCCTGTACATGCCAAGAATGTGCATGCCCATGGCTCAGGGCTGACTGAAGCCAGGGATGGCAGTGGCTTCAAGACCCTCCTGGGACTGTTCTTTCCTTCTTGCTCATGGAAGAAACAGATGAATACACTTAAAAGATTTTTTTGAGAAGTACTCTCGGGAACCAGCAGTTAGCGTAATGGCTGTCGCTGGACTCCCACGTAGTCGACCGCGGTTCGTGTCCCGGACCCGGTGGTTTAAAACTCACGCCGGGCGCGTATGCGTGCGTGCCCAAGATCCCGAGAGGAGAATGGAGGAGAAGGGATTGCGGCGTGACCATCCCCCCTGGGGGGTGATTTCTCGCTTTCTGTCTCTATGTCTCTCTCTGTCTGTCTGGCAAGCGCACACGCCCTACAGTGAAAATCTCTCAAAAAAAAAAAAAAATGGTGCTAGTGAGAAGTACTCTCAACTATATTGATAACTTTAAAAGAGAGGTACTCTGGGGCCGGCAGGTAGTGTGGTGGTTAAGGGCACTGGATGCCTATATGGCCGACTGCAGTTTGAGCCCTGGACCTGGCAGCTTGTTTTCTCTCTCTCTTTCTCTTCCCTCTCCGTTCAAAGATAGATAGATAGACAGATAGGTAAAGTTAAATAAAATTATTCCTTTAAAAAATAAATAAATGAAAGAGTGGTTTTTTTTTGTTTGTTTGTTTGTTTGTTGTTTTTTTGTATTTAAGAGTGGTGCCTTTTAATAGTGATGCTTGTTAACCAGAGCAAATGAATACAAATCATCTGTTTCCACTAAGTCTCCATGCCATTTGTCTTAGGGCTATTCATCATTTTTCAAAAAAAGATATGTATACATATATAAGCGTATTTATGAATAATATTCTCCAATCTCAAAAGTAAAATTTCTTTAAGTATCTGAGTTAAATGATTGATTGCCCAAGATTCTCAATCTGCCCCCTGAACACACTTACAATTTGATGGCCTCAGGGTTTCCTGTGACCACATCCATAATCCATCACTTTGAAACACAAGTTGATTCAATTCACAATAGATGGATGAAAAGTATATTGTATGTAATGTATAGTGCCATATCATGTATATCTATTATATAGAAATGAGAAAATGAAAGTATTAGATAGATATTTCAAAAACTTTATGGTTAAGGGGGCTGGCAGGTGACATAGTAGTTAAAGTGCTGGACTGCCACATGGCCAACTGTGGTTTGAGTCCTGGATCTGGTGGCTTGAAAATCAGATCGGGCGTGTGTACACGCATGCCCAAAATCCAGGAGGAGAATGGAGAAGGGACTGTGATGTGGCCATCCCTACTAAGGGATCATTTCTCACTTTCTCTCTCTCTGTCTCTCCTACAAGCACTTATGCCCAAAAAAATCAAACAAAGAAAAAAAGCCAAAAA